CCCTGGCAGATGACCAATTTCTCACATCTCATGATCTTACTCTGGGTAAATTGTGACTGTTGCTGCAAGTAAGGATGTTGCCTGCTGAAGATGCTCCTCAGAAGACAACAAAGAAGGAGTTCTGGTTCTAGACTTTAGACCTCTTGATGAGGGAAAAGAGCCACACAGATCTCTGGAGATGATGGATCAGATTTATAAGGGCGGCTTTTAAGAGATTGGGGCAGCGGGGTGGCTCAGCAGTTAAGACGCTGGGCATGTCGTCTGAAAAGCTGACAGCCCAGGTTCGAGACCCAAACATCATGCGACGGGGTGAGCTCCCATCCTTGCCCCAGCTCTTGCCAACCTAGCAGTTTGAAAGCATGTAAAAGTGAGTAGATAAATAAGTACCACTTCAGTGGGAAAGTAACAACACTCCATGACATCATGCTGGCCACAGGACCATGGAAATGTCTTCAGACAGCGTTGACTCCATGGTCCTGAAACGGAGATGACCTCTGTCTCCTAAAGTCAGTGACGACTAACGGAGTAACATCTGCATGGGCTTTTTTTAAAAAACAGATCGTGTCATGTTTCTTACTCTGAAACCCACTTTTTAAAGTCCAGCTTCAGAGTACACTTTTTTTGCTCTTTCCTCTGTTTCTCAGGCAGCCATCCTTCCTATTTTCACTCTTTCTTGTAATTTTGCTTCCTGGACATTTTTAAAAGATTGCCCAAATCTATGGGTTGGGGAAAGAGGAAGGCATAAATTACTTAAAAGGAAGGAGAATCCATTTATTTTAACAGTGTGGGGGAAGTGTAGGATGACTAATTGTAGGATGAGGATTTTAGGATGACTTTCCCCGCTTCATTACAATTGATATCTAAGAATGCTACAATATTTTTTTTCCTGGTAGGAAAAAAACACAGTATTCTTAAGGGGAACTTCTTCGTGATACTTTTATTAAACAACTTTGGTTTCGATTTCAGGTCAGATACACAAGATTTATTTTCTGGCCCAGAGACTTCACAAACGAAGTGAACTATTTGTTGGGACCTAGCAAATATATGTTTGCTCTCAGCAGAACATCTCAAGGCTATGTTATTTGACATAGTCCCTGACCCTGAATGCAGGGAATGTCTGGGAGAGTCCAGGTTACCAAATTAGGCCAATCATAGTATTTTGTTGTTGTTTGTTCAAGGTATTGGGGGAAGATCATGTCTTATGTTTTAAAAGCTTGTATGCTTGAGTAAGTTTTACATTTTTGTACTCATCATAGCTTCATTTTTAAACTGTTTTTTTAAAAAGAAAAATAATTTATTACTGCTTTAATAAAATCTGGTTTATTACTTTTGGAAAAAAAAATACCCACATTCTTTTATCCACAGTGGCATAGAGAGGTTATGGAGAGAAACATAATTTCTGCCTGATCCTATATAGCAATTAATAGCCGTAGGCACAGTTATCACTCCAGAGATCAGCTGCTAACCTTCCTGTGACTTCTCCAGACAAGTTATACAGGTTTATGTGACAATGGATTAACAGTTTCAAGCCAAATAGTTTTGTTATCAGGCTTGACCTTGGAGTTTTGTAAGAAAATCAGGAGTTAGTTTAATATAAAAAAGATGACAAAAATAGAGCCTAATATTAAAAAAGGTTTCTGAAGGGAGGCACCCCCCCAAAAATAATGGAGAACTTCAATGTTTTTCAAAGTGAAGGAAATCAGCAGAAGTGAAACCAATTTTTTTTTTCTTAATTGTCTTGGATAGCATCCATGTAATATGTAACTGAGTTTCTTTAACTTGCTTAATCTTCTTGTTTACATGGGAGGAAAGTTACAATAATGATGGCAGTGAGAAATTATTATTCTTCCTCCTTGAAAGGAAAATGTGAGAATGAATACTTTAATGTGTTAGTAGCTAACAAAAAACCCTCCCCAATTTAACTGAAAGCTGGAAAAATAGAGCTTTGAAGTTTGTCCCCAAATGTTAGTAACCTGATGGTAATACAGGTAATCCTCGAGTTACAACAACTCATTTTGTGACTATTTGAAATTACAACGGCACTGAAAAAAATGACTTATGACCATTTTTTACACTTACAACTGCTGCAGCATCCCCAAAATTCAGATGCTTGGCAGTTGACTTATATTTATGACAGTTACAGTGTTCTGGGGTCGTGTGATCCCCTTTTGCGACCTTCTAACAAGCGAAGTCAATGGGAAAGCCAGATTCATTTAACAACCGTGTCACTAACTTAATAACTGCAGTGATTCACTTAACAACTGTGGCAAGAAAAGTCATAAAATGGGGCAAAATTTGCTTAACAAATATCTCACTCAGCAACAGAAATTTGGGGCTCAATTGTGGACGTAAGTCCAGGACTACCTGTATAAAGAAAGCTCTTAGGGTGCTTCCTGCCCCCATCCATTCCCTGAGCCATGTATTAGGATGTGTTTTATACAGAGACCAATGATGTATGGTATTTTTATATAAGTGTTAGTCAGTTTTCTTGGCCTTGGATGTAGCCTGGTTTTTGTTGGAATTCAGGTCCTATCACCGTAGTTAGACCCCAATTGAAAATAATTTGGGTGAAACTTACATTGAGAATCAGGGAAAAGAGTGCATTTGAGCAAGATATTTATTTTCAAAACCAGAACTGAACTCATTCTTCCGCTTCATAATTTCAGGACAAAGTGATCTGACTCTGACATCTCTTGCTTTCATGAGAATAGATAAGATGATACATAACATAACCTCAGTGAAATGGAGCTTCTCTCCAACTTGGGTTTTCTTTCTTTCCCAACTCTTTCCTGGCTACCAGAATGGAGTGATGGTCAAGCAGCTTTCCTCCACAGCTTCAGCTGTGTCACACTACGACTCCTGAAATGAAGTTTTGAAACTGTAGTCAACATAGATCTCCATCTCCAGGGTACCAAGTTGGGGGATGTAAATTTACAACTTCCTATTTAATACACTCCTTTCTTGGGGTCTTTGGTGCTCCCTAAACTTGCTTTGTTTTTCTGCAGGTATCTCCTTACCCAACTAGGTAACAGCATCAGTGAACAACAGCACAATCAAGGAACTACCAACTCAGATATAGAATCAAACAAACAACAGCCTAATCAAGGAACCAAACCACCAAGACCATTCCCATCAAAACTGACAGGGCCAGCCCCTTGTAGATAGAGAGAGAAAATCCCTCTACCTTCCAGCATTGATGATGTTACCTAGTTCGGTAATGAAACGTCTGCAAGAAAACAACCAAGCTCAGAGACCGCCAAGTTCAGCCCTGAGCTACATATATTCTCAACAACCTTCCTTGCTTCCCATCTCTTTCTCGAGGAATAGAATAGAATAGAATAGAATAGAACAGAACAGAACAGAATAGAATTCTTTATTGGCCAAGTGTGATTGGACACATAAGGAATTTGTCTTGGTGCATACGCTCTTGGAGTACATAAAAGAAAAGATACATTTGTCAAGAATCATAAGGTACAACATTTAATGATAGTCATAGGGAACAAATAAGCAATCAAATCATATTGAAGACCCTGTTGTTCCGCCAGGCCGGACTATCAACATAATAGTTTTAAATTGGGGTATTTAAATTTTTTGCGGTTTTAAATCTGAGCCAATTTATTTAATTATTTTAAATTTTAAATTGCTGTTTGTCTGTGTTTTTAAATAGGCTGTACACCGCCCTGAGTCCTTCGGGAGAAGGGTGGTATAGAAATAAAATTATTATTATTATTATTATTATTATTATTATTATTATTATTATTATATTATTATTATTATTATTATTATTATTATTATTATTATTATTATTATTTATTGGTTAATCTTTAGTGAGATTCACAGCTTTGAGGCTGGTTAATAGCTCAGCAGCTCGAGTCCTAACCAAGGACCTAGGAACTGTTAAGGTATCGTCGGAGGATGTAAGCTGTTCCAAGTAAGGTGGTTTTTTATTATTATTATTATTATTATTATTATTATTATTATTATTATTATTATTATTATTATTATTATAATATTAGGAAACAGTCAATATAAATTGTAAGGATACCAGCAACGTTACGGTCATACAGTCATAAGTGGGAGGAAATGGATGATAGGAATGATGAGAAGACTAATAGTAATAGTAATGCAGCCTTAGTGAATAGTATGACAGTGTTGAGGGAATTATTTGTTTAGCAGAGTGATGGCATTCAAGGAAAAAACTGTTCTTGTGTCTAGTTCAGGTGTCTGCAACCTGTGGCTCCAGAGCCGCATGTGGCTCTTTCATCCCCCTGCTGTGGCTCCCTGTCCACTGAACCCACCACTGGCTGGCCCCGCCTCTCGCCCTCCCTTCCCAGTCAGTCCTTGCCTGGCCTAAAAAGGTAAGGGCGATTACCTTACCAGGAGGCACAAAACCTGGGTAAGCGTGGCTGGGGTGTGTGTCATGTGACTGGGTGGGAGTGAGTGATGTCGAGTTGGCCACACCCACCCAGGTTTTGTGGCTCCCGATGATTTCTTTTCTGTGGGAAACGGGGCCAAATGGCTCTTTTGAGTGTTTAAAGTTGCAGACCCCTGGTCTAGTTGTTCTGATGTGCAGTGCTCTATATAGCGTCATTTTGAGGGTAGGAGTTGAAACAATTTATGTCCAGGATGTGAGGCGTCTGTAAATATTTTCCCAGCCCTCTTTTTTGACTCATGCAGTATATGCAGGTCCTCAATGGAAGGCAGATTGGTAGCAATTGTTTTTTCTGCAGGATTAACCCCAGAGGCTAATACAGAGCTTCCAGATCCGGCCTGCAGAAATCAGGACGCCCACCAGAGGGCAGAAATAGAGACACGCAAAAGGCGTCCCGATGTGGCAGAAGAGCGGCTGTGATTTCAAAGCGGCTCCTCCTCCCTCCCTCCCTCCCTCCTCCAAGGTGTCTAACGCAGTGCCTGCCGCCGAGAGAGTGAGACGCGAGGGGTCCTTGGGCGAGGAGGCTGTCCTCGTGGTTGCCTCTGCCATTCTAGCCAGGGGCTTCCGGTTCCGGTGAGTCAGTGCGTGACTTGAGTGTTTGACTGGAGAGCCCTGCGAGCCATTCAGGGCTGGACGAGACGGGGCCATGGCGGACGGGGGCGCGGAGCGGGCCGATGGCCGCATCGTGAAAATGGAGGTGGATTACAGCGTCACGGTAGACCAGCGGCTGCCCGAATGCGAGCAGATGGCCCGGGTAAGCGAGCAAAGGCCCCGCCGAGGGCTGAGTCATGGCGCGGCCCCACTTTAGGCCGCGTCGGCCCTTCGCTGGGAGCCGCTTCTCCCCCCCGGGGGGGGGGTTGGGGGGGGGGGGGGGGGATCGCCTCTCCAGACGGGCCCCGCCCGGGGGGGGGGCCTCCGGTGGGGGAGGAGGAGGAGGAGGAAGGCCTTTTCCGGCTCGCCAAGCCGCCTTGCCCGGCGTGGGAAAGCTAAGGAGATGCCGCAGACGGCTGGCTCCGCTCCCCTGGACGGCTGAGATGGGAGAAACGGGGCGAGATGATTCTCTCTTTCCCACGGGAAGGGGACGATCGTGCGTGGAGGGAGTAGGCAAAGCGCGGGTCGCTCCCGTGTTTCTACCATTCAGGAGCGGTAGAAATCCGGACGAACCTTCCCTCCCCCCCCCCTTCCACACACCCACACACCCACACACACCCGTGCATGGTTTTTCGTAGGAATGAGGCCTCCGGAATTAAATATGAATGAATATAGATATATAGATACACAAACACACTCACACATAAATAAATATAATAAATAAATAAAATAAGGCCTTTTCTTTATTGTAATATTACGGCGACTGGTCCCGAGAAGGTACCAAAGTGTCTTGCTTGCTATTGGAAGAAAAGAAGCAATTGTGGCTTTTTTTGAGGTTCGGCAGAAGTAAGATTGACATTTCCCCCCCCCCCCCAGCGTTTAACCAGAGCTTTAAATTTAAAGTGGGTTTCTTCCTCGCTGCAAATCGGTGTTGTTGCTGCTGCTGCTGCTTCGGGACTTTTAGTTTTATGGATTAAATTTATTTAGAAACCCTCCCGTGTCTCTCACAGGGGGGGAACCTTTTGGCTCCTTCCTTTGAACTCCTGTCGGATTTTACAACAACCATTGGGGTCCTATGTTGAAGTAACATTAAAAGATTTGCATGGATGTCGTACTATTATATACTGCCTATATCTTGGATATCCTATGAATTGTACTGTTTTATTTGTTTCTTGTGTACATGGCATTGCTGCTTAGGATAGTTACATTTTCTTTCATTTGTTGTGTGTTATTAATGCACATGCCCTCCCCCCCAAAAGTGAAATTTAATTATGAAATTAAGTATGAAAAACTTTCACATTATTTGTGTTTAGAATTGGGTTCCCATGATGCTAACCTAGGTTTACTTCCTAGAGAAGTAATAGCTTATTAAAAGATGTAAATCCATGGGGGAAAAAATCCATCCAGGGTGCTAATTATCTTGAATTTAGAAAATAATACAAAACTGTCCATCACTATCCAGACCAAGTGATGGTGAAGAACTGTTGCTCTCTGCTGTATTGATTACATGTCCTGTTAAGGCTGTGTACTCATGACTTGCTGAACCCCAAATTATCAAACTGGATTTTAATTTAGTTTGTTGGATTAATAAGTCAGTGTTGTGATTCATGTATGGCTAAGCATACTGTATGAATTTAGATTAAGTGGTAAAATCTCCCTACTACAGTATTGATTTTAATTTCCGATGATTTCAAGGATGCATCCATATCGGTTTCTTGGCAACAATAGAGAAATAATTAGGTTTTATCCAGTTTTTTCTTTAAAATATTCTGTTTCTGGAATTTCCTGGTGGTCTTTCATTTGAATACTAACCTGGTTTAAATCTGGTTAACTGCTTAAGATCAGCCAAGATTGACTAAGTGCAGTCACCTGCTTCATATTGGAGTAAACCAGGATTAAATTGTACATGGAAAAAATGGGTAATGTTAAATGCAAGCTAAAACATTGAACAGAGAGTTTTGTGCAAGAGAAGGGTCATTAATATTCCTTAGAATATTATGATAAATGAAGGGAAAAAACGTATTCAGAGTAGACATTGACTGGGCCTTCACCTCCCTTTTGGCTGTGAAGAAAGGTAAAAATTATCTAGCTAAAGAAGTTACTGCACACAGTTGGAACTTCAGATGTTGCCTCTGTCGGTAGAGTGATTTGAAGATCTACCATAAGAAGTTTTCTCTTTTGTGCACTTCTTGAACATAAAGTTCCTTCCTCCCATCCATCCATCCATCTCTATAGCTGCCCAATTAATCAAGTTACTCCATATTGTCAGTATTAAATTATTGAAGGAAGATCTCCTGCCTCTCCTGATATGAAAGGAACTGTGCAGGACATGAAATTACACTCTGAAATGTTCCATTACATGTTGGGAATGTTGTCCTTTAACAGTACTGTCTTTTGGAACCAAATAATAGCACTCTTAATTCATTTTGTCATAAAGGGCTTGCTGTAACATTTTTGAATTTGTTTCTTTGTGTAAACATTTTCCCCAGCTTGATTTTTTTTTTTTTTTTTTTTTTTGCAATAGCAAGGAATTTTTCAGGGCAGAACACTAATGGCAATAAAGTACATATAACTAGTTGCAATAATTTAATTGGAAGAAAATAGCTAATGTAAATTATTATGTTTGGCAGAACAGAAATATGTTTGCTGTTTACTTGAGAGAGGAAGCAACTTGTATCTGCCAAAATGAGGTGCATGCTATAATTTCCCTCTCAGCATCTAAATGAATACCTTATAGACTTGATTTTGATAAACATTAGAAAAATAATTTCTGAAGACTGCTTTAATAGCATCCTGTTCCTTTGAAATTGAATATAAAATTAAGGAAACAGATTTTAAATTCGGGAAACTTAAAGTTATAGTTTGACTCTCACTTTTTAAAATGGATATATATTTTCTTGGTAATATTGGGTAGCTTATTTCAGGTGTCCCCAACCCCCGGGCCACGGCCTACTGCCAGCCTGTGGCCTGTTTGGAACCAGGCTGTGTGAGCAGCTGGTTGGTGCATGCATGCAGCTCGACTTGTGTGAGCGGCAGGTCAGCCTGCACACACTTGCGGAGCTTGACTTGTATGAGCAATGGACTGGCGTGCAAGCAGGCCAGGCCAGCACTTGCATGGGTCGGTTCCCTCTCCCCTCACGCTTGGCTGCCAAGCCATAAAGCTGGGGACCACTGACTTATTTAGAAGAGAATAGAGGTAGTCCCCAATTTACAATAGTTTGTTTAGTGACTGTTCAAAGTTACAACAGCACTGAAAAAAGTGACATGACCAGTTTTCACACTTTCAACCATTGCACCCTCCCCGTGGTCACGTGATCAAAATTCGGATGCTTGGAAACCAACTCATATTTATGACGGTTGCAGTATCCAGGGGTCATGGGGAAGGCAGATGCACTTAACTGTATTACTATCTTAACAACTGCAGTGATTCACTTAACAGTTGTGGCAAGAAAGGTCATAAAATGGGGCAAAACTCACTTAACAAATGTCTTGCTTAGCCACAGAAATTTTGAGCTCAATTATGGTCCTAAGTTGAGGACTACTTTTACAAAGCAGTTGTAATTTAAAGGGTGAAACTTCGCTTTCTATCTGCAAAAGAAGCACAGGAAGCTAGATTGGATAGAGATACACACACACACACACACATGTTGCATGTATGTGTATGTATGCATGCATAGATCCATTTTCTTATTCCTAAATATTGACATAAGTGTAGTTGAAATCAACACAGTAAGTGATTCTGTTTTAAATGTAATTGCTTTCCATGCAGCTTGGTTACATTTAATACAAGCTTTCCTATTTTAAATTAAACTAATAACATATTCCAGCAATACAGCAGTATTGTTTAGCCATGTTTTACTGAGGAAACCACCATTTTCTAGGTTATGTAGTCTAAAATCAGTCATGGTTTACAAAGCAGTCTTGCTGGATTCCCATAAACAAGCAAGATTTATTTTGGCTTTGAAACTAGGGCTATTTTGAACCACACCATAGTTTCCTAACTTATAATCATTCCTAACTCACAGTCACTCTGAGTGACAATGAGATGGGCGGTAATTAAATATGGTTAAATAAATAAATTTATAAATAATTTTCATCCAGCTTTGTAATATGTTGTGTTTACTGATATATAACTTGGCAATTCAATTAATTTAGAAGTACTTTACTTTTTTCATTTTGTTTTAAGCACCATATTTCTGTTTTAGGATGGAAGGCTTCAGGAAGCAATCGAAACATTGCTGTCACTGGAAAAACAGACTCGAACTGTAAGCGTTTTTAAAATGAACTAGTCGCTTCTTCAACTTTTAAAATTAGTCTTTCATTTTTTCTCATAAATTGTGTGTGACTCTTCTGCAGATACCAAAATAGCAATTGATGTCTTTTTCTCCAGCTTTTTATATGTTCTTACAGACAATGAGATTCTCATTGATTTTAGAAAACAGTGAAAGAGAGTTAGTCTACAGTACACGAGTATGGGAGTTAATGCTTAAATAATCTTAAATAAGATAAAGTAAAATCTCCATTTATAAGCAAGAATAAGATGTGGAAAAATTGTGATATGAGTACTGGAATAATGAATTGGTCATTTGTGAATTTTGAGTTACTTTTCCTCCTGTGCACTTGATCTTGTGATCAGAAATGTATTTCTTTTCACAAATAGTTAAGTTTTTAAATTTTTTAAAGGAACTCTTGCAAATATTTTGCACTAAAAATGATATATTTTGTCTCCCATGCTTTTTTTAGGCTTCTGATATGGTTTCCACATCTCGCATCTTGGTTGCTGTAGTAAAAATGTGTTATGATGCTAAAGACTGGAATGCTCTTAATGAAAACATCTTCCTTCTTTCAAAAAGGAGGAGTCAGTTAAAACAGGTGAGTTTGCTGAGGGAAAAGTGGGAACTTAGAAGGGTTTCTCTTACTTTTCCATTCTTGTTGTAAGATGTTGTCCGTCTGTTCCTCTCCCCCCCTCCCCTCCAAATTATATGACCACATTTAGGATGCTTAGTAACTGGCTTACCTTTATAATCGTTTGCAGCATCCCACAGTCACATGACTGTGATTTGTGATGTTTTTTGCTGATTTCCGGCAAAAAAAAAATGCCCATCCAGAAGAATGAGTTTTTAGTTATGACTAGTATTCACTTAATGACAGCAGTGGTTTACTTAATGACCACCACAAAAAATGCTGTGCAATTGGGTTTAGTCATGTGGGTGGGTGCCTCAGCTTATGACAGTAATGACTTATGACTGGAAATCCAGGCTCAGTTGCGGTTATAAATTGAGGACTTCCTGTATTTCTTTGATGTGGTCTCCTACAGTTACAGCTCGGCAACTATTGGTCTATGTTGTAGGTAAACTGATCAAGATTTCATACGTGTAAAAGAGAATTGGATATAATTGTTTCCTGAATCATATCAAGTCAAATGAAAAGAGTTTCTGTATTCTGAAGACTGATTCTTTGCAGTTTAAAATCATTTATACTTGTTATTTTAAGATTTCTGTAAGGGATTAAATCTCGATGACTTTTTACCATCTTGTGTAGATTAGCTTTTATTGCTTAAACCTAATAGTAGGTTTTACTTAAAGATTAGATCTGATGCAAAGTCCACAACTTCCTATTTGTTTTGTTGTGTCTTTTCCTTGGATTGCAAACATTTTCAATTTCCTTTGATATTTTGAAATAAAATTCCATGACAGGCAATATTACTGAAACAAATGAACACCAATGCTGTCTGTGCAACTTTATATTCAGTAAGTGTAATCTTTCTCATTATTTATGCTAGGCAGTTGCTAAAATGGTCCAACAGTGCTGTACGTACGTTGAAGAGATTACAGATTTGCCAACAAAATTGCAGTTGATTGACACATTACGTACAGTGACAGAAGGAAAGGTAAGATATTTGCTTTTCGCGATCTGTGGCTTTTTTAATTTCTTTGTCATAGTTAAGTAGCATTCAGGGTTTTCTTGGTGCCTTGCAAACTAAATATAGTTACCATGAAACAATTTGATAAATTCCAGCTTTTAATATTTGCTAATGGAGGGTATAAAACAGCATAAAAACCGACACTCCAAGAAATACATCAGTGACTAGGATTTGAAATAACAGCCTCGAAGGCCTTGGGAAAGATATTCAAACGTCGAGATGTGTGTGTACTTACAAAGATCAGAATCATACAAGCCATAATATTACCTGTGACACATTATAAAAAGTGAACGTTGGATTTGGAAAAAGCAAGATAGAAAGAAGCATTGATGCTTTTGAACTTTGATGTTGGAGAAGACTCATGAGAAAAAATGTGGATAACTAGAAAACAAACCAATACAATCATTGAACAAATCCACCCAGAGTTCTCATTTGAGGTATAAATGATGAAGCTCAAATTAGATCTGTTATGTGAAGACCTAGCTCTCCAAAGGCTGGGAAAGATGGAAAGAAGAAGAGGGTGACCAGCAGCAAGGTGGGTAGACTCAGTTATAGTGGCGATGAGTGCACCATTAGAAGACCTGAAGAACTAGATAGGGAAGAGATCATCACGGGGAAAATCTATGGGGTCAACAACTTGATGGCATGTAATCGATTAATCTTGATCCATTTATTCTTCTATTTGCCTTGTGATTCAGTCCTCATTCCATATAAAAGGCATCTATTTTATATTGGTCACTCGCATTTGTATTCAATCTGCATATATTCATTTACCCATTCATTCTTGCGCTTGTCCTTGTTTTATCACTTGAAGGACTTAAGAAACTTACTGTTTTCATTCAGTGTACTTTTGTGTTTCTTTTGACATACAGCCCAAATAGCAGAAATACTGATGTCTATGTTTGACAGCTTAATGCATAAGGGACACTGTGTCTTCTCAGCAAGGCATTCAACATATTCTCTCATAATACCTTCGTTAAAGAAATGGTAAAATATGGGTGAGGTAACTGTAAGATGGATTTCTAATGGATTCTCAGCATTCATAGAATACTGATCATTGGCTCCACATTAGCTTGGAAAGTATTATTGAATAGACGGCAGAGCACAGAATCAGTATACGGATAAAGATACGACAGGAGCTCTGGCTTTCCCTCTTCTGTCACAATTCCAGGATACTTTGGTAACTATTTATATGCCTTCCAAATCTCTCCTCAGTCATGGTGTATCAGAAACATCTATTCAGCATAATAACTTGGCCTTTTGACTCATTAGCACATAAATATACATTAGCACGTTAAGCTTTTACTGTATTTTATTTTACTTTGGCTTTTTTTTGCCATTTTATTTTTTATTATAAAATATATAATTTTTACATTATAAAATATGAATATGATGCTATAGAATATAGATTACAAGTGAAGATTTGGATAAATTAAACCTTAAACTGAAAAAAAAAGTTTTTATCTATTATTTTTAAGATATTAATAAACAGACGATTGCTTGTATAATTGATTCTAAGTGTGACGTTGATAAATATATTTTATATTTGTAAAAATAATAAGGCTTCTTCCACATACGCAACACTAGGCTTATGCAGTGGTTAATTCTTAATTCTGCCTTGCTGTTTTTAGATATACGTTGAAATTGAGAGGGCTCGTCTGACAAATACACTGGCAAAAATAAAAGAACAAAATGGTGACGTAAAAGAAGCAGCCTCAATTTTGCAGGAACTTCAGGTAATATAAAAAAAATAGTTTAGCTTGGGATCAGTGCCCGTGTTTCAAATACCGTCATCTCTTTTTCCAATTTTTAAAAGTTGTTTTGATCAGTTATCTACTAGTCACATAAGGACATTAAATAGTGCAGAGGTTTTGGGGTATTTATTTCTTGTGTTTTAGAAACCTTTTAAATAAAGTGGTTAAATACATTGCCCACACAGTATTGTTTACTTGCCACTAAGGGTTGCAAATCTTACCTTTCCCAGCCAGAAGATAACCAGCTTTGTAAGCGATCCCCCAAGAAAACAATGAAAATATTTTCTAAGAAGATGTACTCGGTGGGGTCTGAAATCCAGTGTGATGCACATCATCTTTTGCAATGGGAGTTTTTTTTATCCCCCTGCCCCCAGCCTTTAAGAATAGATTTTTGAGGGCTTAGTCTGATGCCGTGTGTCAAAAAGCTTAAATTTCATTTTGAATTTGACCAAAATGCAAAATAAATGAAGCTTATTCAGCTGGGAATTGAACAGACTTTGTCTACAGAATCTTGTCATACTATAACTGTTTGGATTTGCTGTAGACTTGTAACTACCAAGAGAAGAGTTTTATGTAAATTATGTAAATTAAAAATAAATTAATGCTTTTGCTGGCTTTGTGTGCAGTTCTTAGAATTTCACTTTTCTCAATCTGTAATATTTTAACACATTGAACTTTAGGTGGAGACCTATGGATCGATGGAAAAGAAGGAACGTGTGGAGTTCATCTTGGAACAGATGAGGCTTTGTCTGGCTGTAAAGGACTACATTCGAACTCAAATTATAAGCAAAAAAATTAACACCAAATTTTTCCAGGAAGAAAACACCGAAGTATGTCTGGTGGTAGAAAACTTTTTATTTGCTGCTTTATGGGGTGTTATTCACACATCTTAAATAGTTTTCACGCTACTGGGGAAGTGAAGATGTGTATGCTTAATGTGACTCTCCTAACCCAATGTTATTTGACATTTCAGAAACTAAAATTGAAATACTACAATTTAATGATTCAGTTGGATCAGCATGAAGGTTCTTATCTTTCCATTTGTAAACACTACAGAGCTATTTATGATACACCCTGCATCCAGGCTGAAGGTGAAAAATGGCAACAGGTAAGAACACGAGGAGAATAGATTATAAGCTGTTAATGTCTGTATAAGCAAATGCTGCCTTTATGAAGGTACTCATTTAATTTTTAGAGCAATGAAAGTCAAATGTTATTGTTTTCCCATTATCAATATTTTAGAGAAAAAGTGATTTATATTCCATGTATATTTCTTGAAAAAGCATTTTGCTGTTTCTAGAATAGCTTCAAAGTTACTTTCTTTTTTATTAAATAAAATGTAGTTATATTTGATAGAATAGAACGGGTCCCCAACCTCTGAGCCATGACCGTGGCTATTCGTAATTGGCCCGCATGAGTGGCTGATGGGCACTTGGTGCGCCGGGCCAGTCCTTGACCAAGGGCTCGGTGTGCATGCACCGGCCCACCACTTGTGCAAGGGATGCATGCGTGTGTGCACGCCACCGCTCATGTGGCCCAGTTCCTCTCCCCCCCCCCCAAGCCACAAAGGTTGGGGACCGCTGGAACAAAATCTTACCAGCCCATATGGAAAATACTGTGTTTTCAAACATAGTTAGATACTATTTGGCACTTTTGCAAATGGGGAATGCTTCTTTATGTCTTGAAAATTACTTTACTTCAATTGAAGCTTTTGAAGTAGAAAGGAGTAATTTTTCATGTGTTTCTGTAAAGCTGTTTCACATATTGCTCAGAGTTTTTTTCGAAGTTAAGATTGAAAAACTGCACAGAGAATGAAGAATGAGCATTGTTGGACGTGCAGGCTGTGCTGGAGGCTGGTGCTTTGTTTTGTGACAAAGGATAGCTTCCTATCTTTTTAATTGAAATATATGGGTACACTGGAGACCCAGATATACAGGCCTCTGCTGCATTGCCAGAGGAAACACTGGCAGAGAGCTCATTCCAACCTGACCCGGCTTAAATAACTTAAACAATGCAGATTTTTCCACATTCTGTTTATGATTGGGCATAACCTTTGAAGGGTGATTTTCGTAAGTGCAGGATTCTCCACGGATGCTCATCTTTCTTTCCACCTTGTTTACATTTGCTCCGGCCATGTAGTCAATCTACTGTAGTAGAATCTGAACCAAGCTTGATTCTCATGCATGTAGGGGCATGAAAAGTTAGTAGGGAGCTATACATGATAGGAAAATACTGATAGGAATGAAGTCAGATTTTAACACCAAGCCCCTCAAATAGTTAAAAATACAATGTGTGAAAATTCTGAAAGGGCTTAGGAAGCAAAAGTTATTTGAAGTGATGTTATTCAAAATTTGCTACTGATAACAATACATGTAAATTATTTAAGATGCAAGAAACCAGAGCTCCTATTTGCTTAATTTTATTTTCTTTATTTTTTTAATTAAAAAGTTTTACAAAGAAAATTCCCCCCAATATTCCCCCCACCCTTTTTCCCTCCCCACCACCCCCACTCCCCTTCCCCCCTTCCCATCCCCCCCACCCCCAGACTTCCCAGAACAAAATACAGGGTATTTCAATTAACAATCATAAGCTAAATTAGCCTAACTATTCTTAGACTACCTAATGCCCCCCTGAAACCTTAACTCCACTATGGATAACATAATACTTCTAAAGTAAAATTTAACATTCATTCATAAACTATTTGATATTTTCTTGTCTGATACTTATTTTGAATATAATCAATCCATCTTCTCCATTCCGATATGTATCTTTCTTGTGTATAGTCCTTCAAATATGCTGAAATTTTCGCCATTTCCGCTAAGTTCACTACTTTCAATGTCCATTCTTCAATAGTAGGCAAAGAGTCCTTCTTCCAATATTGCGCTACCAACAGCCTAGCTGCTGATATTACGTTCAAGATCAGTTTAGTCTCATTATTTGCTTAATTTTCAAAGGTATCTTAGGAATTGAAAACTCCATACAAATTTATGGAACAATGTTCTAAGGTTTTGAAAATGCTTTTAGGTACATATATGGGAATTCCACTAATACCATTTAAATCTTCTTTAAAATGAAGAATTCTAGCCTAGAAAGCTTTAAATTGTTTTCAACGAATTTCCTCATTTTGTATATAAAATTGATGGTCCGTTTGGTTCCTTTCAGCTCTCCAAATTTGTAATTTCGAGTTAAGTTTGTTTGCAAATTGGTACATAAAATAAAAATCAGCTTCTTATTCCAAATAATGTTGTTTATTTTGATATATCAGTACGTCTCTACAGATCAGTTTCTTTCTCTTTCTCTGAAACAGGCGCTGAAGAGTGTTGTGTTGTATGTCATCCTATCCCCTTACGATAATGAACAGTCTGATTTGGTGCACAGAATAAGCAGCGATAAAAAACTAGAAGACATCCCCAAATATAAGTATGTGGCTTTTAATTTTTTTTTTAAGAATACGTTTGGGATGAAATAGGTGCAAATGCTAATTTGCAGAATATGTTTCCTGTAGAATTTCATACATTCATAACACTGTGTCGTTGGTAGGGAGATGGCTAAGATACATATTTGAATTACTCCGTTTATAGAGTGTAAAATGATAGTTGTGATATTGGTGTGCATGTAAGTTACTGATTTCTGTTCCCAAGTTTTGTATATGTATATATGTTAAACTGAAACTGTATTAGTATCCTTGATGCATATTTGTAAAGAATTTTTGGTAAATATTATGTACGTACAGATATGTATTATGATGCTGGTATACTCTTTTGAATTAATAGTTTTGTTTCTGACATAATGCAATTACACATATCTAAGAAAGCAAGTAAGGTAGATTAATGCACTGGTACCACTGGCAAATTCTTTCAGAAAATGCAGTGTTCTGATGGACGTGAAGATGATTTAGCCATTTAAGAGGCTCTCTTTCTTTTTTTAAACAGAGATCTTTTAAAACTGTTTACTACTATGGAATTGATGCGCTGGACTACCCTTGTGGAGGATTATGGGAAAGAATTGAGGGAAGGATCCCTTGAAAGTCCTGCAACAGATGTTTTTGGCTACACAGAGGAAGGTGAAAAAAGATGGAAAGATTTAAAAAACAGAGTAGTGGAACATGTAAGTCAATTCTATTTTTTAACCCTTTGTCATTAATAGCCGTCTTTTTTATTCAAACTATTTTGTTGGTGGGACTGACATAGTGCTTATTGCCAAACTCTGAGAAGTTATTTTTGACAGATACACATCTTTGTTCTAGTTGGAATATAAGAATATAAATTGAATAACGTAGCAGTGCTGTTCCATATAAATAAACTTTGATACAGAGAAGAATGTGAAAAAAATGTCTTTAAAATGTAATTCACTGCTAATTCCTTCCAACAACTTGTTTGCTATACATTAGAGTTGTATCTGAGAGTATGTTGTATGTTTCCTACATAATAAATGAAATAAATTATTTAACTCTCAATAAGTATTGAAACATAAGCAAATGCTTGAATCCATTGGAAGATTTCCTTTTATATTTTGGGAAATTATTCAATTAATACCTAACAAGGGTCTATTCTGATTTTTTTTCTTTAGAATATTAGAATAATGGCAAAATATTATACCAGAATTACTATGAAGAGAATGGCACAACTTTTGGATTTATCAGTTGATGTAAGTGATGCTCGAGATTGCTTATGGCTTTCACATGAGAGAAAATGTATGACACAGTTGGAAAAAAGAGCATTAGTAGTATTTTTGGAGCTTTTAGAAAACTATTTCCATGGGGATGTACATTTAATTTCGTAGTAGAATCAGTAAATCTCATTGAGATTCTGCTCCTGTACATACTTCTCTTGACTTATTTATAGGTGAACTTATATCTCAGGAAATTTATGTAAATTTTTTTTTTACTAAAGCGGGGAGGGGGGGCAGTTTAGTCTTTGAATTAGTGTTGGCTCCTGGCAATTGCTGTGACTAGTCCCTGTGGTATTGGGGGGAGATTTTTTGAAAGTGGTTTGCCAATTAATGAAATATACCTGTTATATTTCGTATATAATATAATATAATGTAAAAAGTATGCAGAGTAAAAAGAAATGTTTCTCAAGATGTAGTTTCTTAGCTATTACCAATGATAGGCCAACTAAAAAACTAACTATAACCTCAAATCTAGCAAAAAGGCTAGTGAGCCTTTCAGAACACTGGTGTTTGCTAATGTTTTAGTAAATACCATCTTTACCCTATTGGAGGGGAACCTGAGTCTTTCAGAACACTGGCATTCAGTAGCGTTTTAGTGAATGCCATTATTGCCACCTTTCATAATGAAGGCTAGCTCTCTGAACCTTCCATAACAATGGCATTCGCTACCATTTTCACCAAATTTAATATCTGTTCCTCCAGCGCACCAAAAGATTTCCTCTCTGGAAATGCTGAAAAATCTCTTGCCCATGCTGGAAGAACAGAACTTGGAATGCTGGAGGACTGCTAATCTAGAAAAAGTGCTAGCAAACACCAGAACTAAAAATCTAAGCGCTATTGCTATAATTTTCATGATAGTTCTCCCTGGTGGGATGGGGAAGAGGGCCCAGGCCTCCGGGATGGGGAGGGGGGCTGTTTGACACCCCCCCTCCCAAGTAGTCACTTAAACACAGCTGGAAGATTCAGGATTGCAGCTAATGAGCGTGATGTGGCATCTCACTTAGCAACTGCTTCACTGAACAACTGAGATTCTGGACCCAATTGTGATCATAAGTGAAGGACTACCTGTGAAATCAAAGTTTCAGTTCTGACCCACATTTTATTTTGGATGACATCAGGTATGCCAGTCAAATATAAATGTTTCTTAAGTACATTTCATTGGAAGTATGTGTGTGCATATACAGATAGTCCTTGACTTACAACAGTTCATTTACTGAGTGTTCAAAGTTACAACAGCACTGAAAAAAGTGACATGACCATTTTTCACAGGTACGACCTAAGTAGCCTCCCCAGGATCATGTGATCAAAAAATTCAGACACTTGGCAACTGGTTCATACTTATGAGCGTTGCTATGCCCCACGGTCATGTGATCCCCTTTTGAGACCTTCTGACAAGCAAAGTTGGTGGGGAAGCCAGATTCACTTAACAACCGGGTAACTGACTTATCCACTTCAGTGATTCACTTAACAATTGTGGCAAGAAAAGTCGTAAAATGGGGCAAAACTCACTTAACAACTGTTTCACTTAACAGAAATTTTGGGGTCAATTGTCATAAGTCGAAGACTGCCTGGATATTCATTCATTTCTTCAGAGCATGGATAACTGTGACGTACTACTATAAAACAATGAAAATTCATTCAAAATGGTTTGTTAGTTTGACTACCTGATTCTCTGTCATTTATTTGCTTTACAGGAATCTGAAGAATTTTTGTCCAACTTAGTGGTGAATAAGACCATCTTTGCAAAAGTTGATAGGCTGGCAGGAATTATCAACTTTCAGAGACCCAAGGACCCAAATAACTTACTCAATGACTGGTCTCACAAGCTCAATTCACTGATGGCTCTAGTTAACAAAACTACACACCTCATTGCCAAAGAGGAGATGATACATAACTTGCAATAAGGTGCCTCAGTAGCCTTAATGCTTTAGTGAGGCATTGAATTGGCCATAGAGACTTTATCCCACTGTATATTTTTTCATCTCTCCCTTCCAGATGAAACTTAGAACATAATCACTCTTGAAGAATTGTTGACAATTAAGTTCCTTTGATTATTGATTTGGTTTATAACAATTTTTTTGCTGCAATTGATGGGGAAAAATAAAATTGTACCGCTTGTGTAATGGAAATGGCCTTTGATTTATCCCAATTCATCCTGGATTTGTCTTGATTTGCATATCTTTTTACATTGTTAGATACATGTTGTAATACATTCTTTTATAAAGAAATGTGACAAAGTGTTTATTTAATGTTGATTCTCCTAGACTGAAATTTCAAGCATGAAATAAGTATAATTTCTCTCCTATGTTAAAAGTATGATAGGTTTATAGCAGATCAAGAAAAGCATGGAATTAAGTTGTAGCTGTTTTGTATGTTTTTATGCATCAATGCTTTTCACTTACATTTAGGTAGGTATGTTAACACAAACAGTTACCAAAAAAGTCTAAAACATTGCTGATACTTCATTATGTCTTGATAAAGAATTATCTAGGCTGTTTCAAGTAACCTTACAATCTAAACTGAAAGCAAAATGTAAATAAGTCAAACTGGTTTTCTAACCTTGCATTCAACTAGTAAATAGCCATTTAAGTTTTGGCTCATAAACTTGAAGGTCGAATTTTAAATGTACAGGCCTGCAGAGTGCTATATGCTGCTACTAATTAATTGATTGCCATGTTCAGCTACTGAGACAGGTTGTTTCCAAACAAACATGTTTTAAAAATGGCACTTAAAACAATATAAAGGATGCATAGGTAAGTGCCTTGGTTACATTGAGGTTAATGGTTTGAGCTTGCATTTTTAAAAATTGTATTCCTTTACATTATTTGGCAATTTGCAAATTTTCATTGAGAGATTGTGATGTGGCATGAAGCAAGGAGTGGACTCTGCTATTCTAAAGAACAAATTGCTCCAATGTTGGATCATAGCCTATATAAACGAACAAAAATAGATATTTATGTTACATGTTTTACTCCATTTTGCATGGTATGATGTAAATAGAACAGTTGCTTGTACAGGCAAATTTTGTTCAGGCTCATTCTGAGATTCACTATTCCATATAAGAATTGTTGGTAGTTAATCTTCATCTGTTCCTGTTGTATCTGATGATTTTCTATCAGAAACTTGAAGTGAGTTCACACGGAGCTTTCAGCAATCTCGTGATCAGAGGTTTAGACCCTGGACCCCAGTTAATGGTTTTTTAGAGAGAGAGATGCCTCTTGTAGAAGAGGAGGATGGAAAGTGATATTTCTGAATATTCTCCTCCAACCCCCCTCAATCTCTCTGATATAGGGAAGGTCTTTGAGTAGGTTAAGAAAGGGCAGTGGATGGTTTCCCAGAAGAAGGCAGCCATCCCAATCTTGGCTATGTAAAACCTAACCTTTAATTTAAGTGCTATGTATTGCATGTAATGTCTTACTAACGTAAAGAAGGACCAGAAGATGCAATACTTGACTTAAAGTGCTTGTCCAGCATGTTATGCGTGGCTATATTGTGCTACCTCATGTCATGATACGAGCCCAGTGAGTATCTAAAACCATGCTTGATTCTCATTACGTATTAAGGTGCAACATTGAGAGATTCATTTCTTATCCACTTTTACTAAACTTGCACGTGTCGGAAGGCCAATGTCAATTGAATTCTGTTGCCTTTGCTACATTGCAAAATGTTGTTCACTGCCTACGACGATTACAGAAGGTCCCACTACCTGATATTTAGATAACTTTCCTTGGATTCTTGTGCCATTGTTCAGTTCATACAGGATTATTCTACAACATTTAGAAAAAAAATTCAGTGGCAAAAAACCAGAAATTATCTGCCCAAATCCATAGTTCTGAGGATTTGAACAAATGCCGATTAGCCTTTTTTTCTACAACATAATCCTAAATTCTCCTGAGCTTCTATCTACCATAACAATGATGCCTCCCATGCTCTTTATATGACATTCAACTTACATGATATATATATATTATTTTCCCTGTGATTCCTTTTGCCTTTTCTAGAGGGGTCTAAGACAAGTTGCCACATCGAACTCACTGTGGCCAACTTGCTGCGGGCCAATTGTTCCACAGCCAGTTGTCCCGCATTGAGTTGATCATGGTGACTGCCATGCCAAGTTGTGCCATTCTGTTCTAGAGAACATTTTAAACATTCATCAAAGACATGCATTCCATTGCGCCATTGCTTAATCAAAGTTTGCTGAATAAACCACAATTGGACATGTCTGCGCTGTAATTTTAAAATTCTTGTGGCTGGGATCCCAGAACTTGCCAATTAAACCAACTGCATTATCTATGTATTGTGTGATCCAGGTGAAAGTTAACATCCACTCCAGCAAGATACTTTTCTAGATTTACAGACTTTTAGCAAACTGAAAAAGCTCTCATTTTGAAGGTCGCCTCTCTATGATTCCTGTATACATTTGAAACCATGGTGGGGAAGTCACAATTTACTGAAATAAGATGGTAGGTACAATATTCTGCCTTTATCTCTTTCCCTAATAAGCCTTGAATTAGAACTGATTCAGTTGTAAGTGAAACTGGCCTAAGTAGCAAGTCATTAACATTGTCTTGCATGGGCTGTATATTTTCTATAATACATAAATCTGATTTAAAGATTGTTTAGTGGAATTTGTATCCAAAAAGAAGGATACAATGAATTGTTGTTGATTGCAAACCAGACAAGTATTGCTTTATAGGTAGCCTTAGTAAAAAGAATAGTGATTCTTGCCTTCACGTTTTCCTGTGGAAAGCAGCTAACATATGTGCATTATGACAACTTAATCTGCATGAGTCAGACTGGAATGGTGTATTAACATGCAAATCCTTTTTCTTCAAGAGCTGATGAACTCCTATTGAAGTTCCATCTTTTAAGTAATAAGATTCAAACTCATTTCCATTTCCAATGCAGTGGAATAAAATTCAAAAGAGAGGAATTGTGTATTAAGTATAATTTTGGTGAAAAAATGAGACAAAAACTAATTTGAAAAGCAAAGTTTTTAAAAAAACAAAAATAGCTGATTTTGTGCTCTAAAATGTTCAGCAATTGCAACTATCCCCCACAATTTCTGATTATCCACCAGCAGAATCTCATTCTCCGTGTATACCACTACAAACCTTTTGAAGTTATTGGGATTACAGTATCAGATAATGTGCTGAATGTTTATTACATTTATCTAGAATGAGATAAATCAGAATGCATGCACTGATTTGTCTGACCAAGAGTGTACATTTTTAGGGTGTCTACTTGAGATATAATTTTAATAAGGAATAGAGGAGTCTATGTTGTGGTAATTCCATGCAATTCTATTGTGCTTGAATTTTAAAAAAAATATTAGATTTACTACTGACTGCCACTTAATGCTTCTAGACAATTGCTACTTCTTTACACAGTACTTTGGTAAGATTAGGTCACCTGATGACCTAAATCGTGGTTTGGTTAATTGAGATTTGGTAAATGACAAATGGTTGGATTTGCAGAACATACTAAACCATAAACAATGGTTTGTAAAATAAAATGGCTGAATTCATGTAACTTAAGCCAAAATTTAAATAAACTGCATTATGGCTTAATATGTTGTGAGAAATAAATCATATAACATCTATTAGGATGATTTATTAAGTGTACATACGAAAACTACAAATTTTGCTTAAATAACAGCATAAAAATAGTATTCACTATAAGTTTTAAAAATAACGTGCCTACTGAATGTTTTAGACAACCTGTTACCATTTTGAGTCATAAGTTGTGCTGTGGGGGAGTTCTGCTAGTTGTCATTCAAAACATTTGATGGACACAATTTTGGCGGTCTTTTACTTTGCAATGGTTAGCATTAGCAAGACAGTACTGATTTTTTATCACGATTCGAGGTTTGGGTATGTATACTTTCTAGAGTATCGTGTCACTTTTAATAGAACTACGTCTAAGGGAAGTGTGTATACATTTTTACATGTTATTGAAGAACATTTCCTGAAGTGATCTGGAGAACTTTGTATGCATTCTGTAGTTTCTAAAAGGTAAAAAGAGTATGGGGAAAATAAAAGTTAAACATTCCAACTTCCCTAAACCAGTAATACATTCCCTATACTTAGTGATCTTAATTTATATCTCTGTTATATCGGATCTCTACCTTTAACTATATCTAAATACTAGAACCAGGTGGAAGGGTGATTTGGTCCTGCAGGTCTAAATGTTTGTCCAAATTATTGCACAAGGATAGTCTCAGCTTCAACCCTGGGCAACTAATTCCAGTGTCAAGACTTGCTATTAGCAAGAGTTGACAAACATTTAACTGATATCTCTCTTCTGTTATTTGAAATCCTTATTCTTTGTTTTTTCAACATTTGAAAGAATGCGCTCCTAATCCTCTGTTTCCTCAAGGCTAAACATTCACAATTCATTCAATTTCTCAGTGGTATTTTAGCTGCCTTTGCCTGAACCCATCTAGTTATTCTGAACCCACTGAGAAGATCAACATAACATGTAACAAAAACCAAAAGCAAGAATAAGAATAATTCTGTAGTATGAAAGGGCATTTTTTTTTAGCTCCAAAGGCTATATATGTTACCAAATTAATGGTAAGTCCATAAATTCTATTTTCTTAATTATTTTTTTTCCTTCCATGGTAAATTGGGAAACCCTTGTTAGTCTGCTTCCAAAATTCAGAGCTTAAAAAGGGGGGGGGGGAATCTTGAGGATTGCAATTGGCTCATAGCTCATAGGTGCCTTACTCTCTGCTAAAGGTCAAATATAATTAGGAGTGGTGATTAACTACTTTCCCAAGATCCCTTCAGCCCCAAGGGAAATATACCTCGCTTCTCAACTTGACTAAGTAATTATTTTCCTGACATTAACAAAACTAAAGTACTAAGCATCAATTAACCACTGGTCCGATCTGAATAGCTTGCAGCCCAATAGTAAATCAATATTACATGACTCGTTTTATGGCACCAAAGGAAACTCTAGGCAATTTGTTGTCTGCTTCCCCCTTTTCAAAACAGGTAACCCGAGTAATTGCACACTGTGAAATATATGAACTTTAATATCAAACCAGGAGCAATCTTTGCAGAAAGAAATGATTCTTTATTCTTCAATCAAAACGTGGTTTGTAATTAGAGGTGGAGAAAGCTGTTGTGTATTCTAATGTTAAACTTTCTAGTTTTTATTCAAGGAATAAGCATGGTGAAATTAACACTCAATATACTGTCCTTGGCAACAGCAGTGTGCTGCAAACCCCTTAGCTATTTCCTTAGCTTGAAATAGTTATCAACTCCATCATTAAACATGATATGTATTCTCACATTGAGTAAATGGGCAATTGAGCCAAGGCCTGAGACAGGAGGCTGAATTAGCAATAAAAATAGCACTTAGACTTATATAGCGCTTCACAATACTTTATAGCCCTCTCTAAGCGGTTTACAGAGTCAACCTATTGCCCCCAACAATCTGGGTCCTCATTGTACTGACCTTGGAAGGATGGAAAGCTGAGTCAATCTTGAGCCTGGTGAAATTTGAACTGCCAAATTGCAGGCAGCCGGCAGGTAGCAGAAGTAGCCTGCAGTACTGCATTGTAACCACTGCACCACCACGGCTCTCACATTAACCTTATGTTTCGTTTCTGTTCTGACCAACTGGGTTCAATTTAAAATTTGGAGATTATACAAAAACCTGTTGTGGCCTGTCAGCGGCCTGTGCGGTTAGTAGCTGATTCCGACAGCAAGGAGGCTGGTGTGGTGCTGCGCCAGCAGCCTGTGCAGCTGGCGCTCGAGTCAGACAATGAGGAGGCTGGAGAAGATGTGCCAGAGGCAAGGATTCATCCAGGGCCTTCAGAACCTCCAGAAGCTCCCATAAGTGAAGAGGAAGGAGGAGCCTCTTCTCGATGCACGAGCATGGAGAGCTGTTAAAAGGCAGGAGTGGCTCCTCAGGAGAAGGTCTCCTTGAGAGTAAGGCTTGGGGCTAATTGGCCATTCCCCTAGCCTATTTAAGGAAGGACGACGACTGATGCAATTTGCAGGAAACAACTTCGTTCATATTCCTTCGTGTCTTGATTCCAGAAATGTTTGATTCGGCTCTAGTTTATCTCGTCAGTTTTCCTGCAAATTGCTTCTGGGCTTTCTGCCAACCACAGTAAGAATATGGTTATCTGAAATACTGTGCCTCAGAATTGAGTTGTTATTCTTTGGATTCTTGTCGGCTGTTAATGAAGTTAAATTAACAGCCCTTGTTCAGAAAAGACTGATTTAAACTGTACTTGTGTTCGAACAACTACTAAGAAAGCTCATTAGTAGTCCTTAATTAGTAAACTAAGGTTTGTATGGACTTTGTGTGTGCTGCGTTCTTTGGGGTCCGTAGCTGGGGCAGAACAAAACCTAGTTCTCTTGAACAATCCATAATGCTGGGAAAGGGGGTAGGAAAGAGAAGAAGAGGACAACCAGTTCACAATCCTGCGGTCCTTCTGAACTCCTGGCTTGTGTTTAAGGAACAGTAAATAGTAGCCGTAGATCAAATTGAAATGTATGGGTTGAAATGAAAAGAATAGAAACAAACAATTACAAAAAAACTACCAAAATCAAAACAAATCCAAAAAAGGAAAAAAGTGAAAGAAAAAACTGCCTCCTTCATCCTTGCAATTAAAGAGGATTTTAATAGTTTACTGCCATCTCTTAAATTCAACATAATCTCTCTTCAGTAGTTCATCCCTTAAGCAACACAATCTAAATGTCAGTCGTTCTTTTTGTCAGCAAAAATCCAATAAGGGCAAACCAAATATAAATATTTTTCATTTAGCCCTGATAAAAGTAGGCAACCTTGTATTCCTTTCCTATGTTTTTTTTTTTTACAAATGTAATTCTGAGCCCTTCAAAAAGAGTGCCAGTTAGTTTTCTATTCCTCTGTTTTAAGCCAAAAATCTTTCAGAACTTTAATTATACAATTGTATATATTTTTGTATATTTAATAAGTAAAGTTTGTTCCTTGTTTGTCACTTCTAATAAAATCCTTCAGGACTATTGAACTCTTTTGTATATCAGGTTAAAAAAATACAAATTGGTTTCCTGGTTTAATGTTTATACATCTTTTAGGGAATAAATTATTGATTGGTTTCATTTGTGAGTATCTTTTTCCATATCCTCATTGCTTAATGCATTTAAGTCCCCCTTCAAAATAATTTCATAGTTATTCACTGCAACTTGTTTTGTAACTCTGCCCATATATTTTACCAAGGAGTTTGGCTGACAAATATTCAAAGACTTCTATTACAGATTTCTACTCCAGTCTTTTCTTTAACCTCTAGCTCCCTCTAGCATCTAACCTTCAAGGTCCCCTTATCATAAAAAGATCCCAAATAATTGCCACTTCCCAAGGGAAAATTCCTTCCAATTAATTCAAAGCTATCATTCTAAATCAATCTGGACCCTTAATCCTTTGTAAAAAATCCATATTCTAAGCATTTTTGCCACATCATACAAAAATTTCCAAAAGTTTTAAAATCAAATTTATACCTTCTTCCTCTTAAGAAGGAGACTCACTGATGAATATAGTAAGCTTGGTCTAGTCATTAAGGCACCAGGCTAGAAAGCGGGAAACCGTGAATTCAACTTCTATTTTAGCCAGCTGGGGGATTTTGAGCCAGCCACTCTCTCTCAACCCAAACCCCCTCACCGGGTTGTTGAGGGGGGAATAGGAGGAAGGTGTGTTGGATATGTTTACCATCTTGAGTTATTTGTAAAAATAATACAGGCGGGATATAAGGTTTAAAGGTTTCCCTTGTCAAGTTGTGACTGACTCAAGGGGGCGGTGTTCATCTGATTCTCAGCCGAGGGAGCCTATGTTGTCCAAGAGATGCTTCCATCATCATGTAGCCAGCATGAAAGTACAGAATGCAGTAAACCTTTCCTGCTGAAGCAGTATCTATTTATCCACTCGCATTTGCATGTTTTCAAACTACTAGGTTGGCAAGAGCTAGGGTGAGAAATGGGAGCTCACCCTGTCCCAAGGCGCTCGGATCTCGAACCTGGGCTGTCAGCTTTCCAGCTGACAAGCCCAATGTCTTAACCACTGAGCCATTGTGCCGATCAAAGGATACAAATAAATGTCTAATAAATAAATATCAGTCTAAAGCATGGGTGTCAAAACTTGCTGTGTCACATTGCCATCACGTGATGTTTTGCAACGTTCTTCCTATTTGCATCTGGCCTGTGGGTCAGTTTGACACCCCTGGTCTAAAGGGTCTTAATCTCTACAGTTTAATAGAAAAAATTATAATAAAAAAGTGAATAAAAAATAAGGCTAAGTCAAGCTTAATGTCCTTAAAAGCTGCTTCACAAGTGTTAGCTTGATGTAATCTTGATTCCTATCCAACTCAACTCCTAAACCAACTGCAAAATGGCAGTTTCTGTGATCTATTCAAGAACTGCCCAGAGTCAGGTGGATAATCTCAACAATCTCTCCTTCCTCCAGATTTTGGTATCCACCATGATTTTCCTTGCAAATGCAATCCTGCTCTCAGCAGGATATCAGTTCTCCATGACGCTCACAGGAAATGGCATACTTGATCTTTTGAATGGATTATAAA